TTTGCAAGTCATCGTAAGCATGAGGATGGTTTGAAGCCCTCTACCAAGTATAAAGAGGTAAAATATTTGACGGCGTGGATTCAGCTAAGATATTTGCCAAATTCTTTTGTAGTGTATGTCCGTCAGAAATGTCATTGGCTGATGCGTGAAAAAAAACCCCTGAGTTGATGTCTAGGCAAAGGAATCAAACTGTTGTTGTGTTATTAAACTGGCCATAGTGTTAACTCCGTGGAGAAAGTAATTGTGTCAGTTATAAACGGAACACATACTAATGTGAGACAACAAGTAAATATCAATCCACTCGTGGTCGTGAGTAAAGCATTATGAAATATTATGCTCTATAAATAGTAGCTGTTTTTTTGTGGTGAAGAAGACAAACGAGCAGACGTGTCACCTGATGGAAAGTGACTACCGCCGCGCCTATGAAAGTCTGAACTTAGGAGCTACAAGCGTGTTGCAGACCTTTAAGTTAAGAGTACGTTCTTTTCTTGGTTTTAAGGTCGTATCGTTTGCTATCTTTTGTATGGAACTCTCTTTTCATGTGATTTCTTCTGACGTGATTATTCATGAGTGGTCATATCACGATTTCCAAGATTGGCAACAACATTTATTGGATGATTGGCATACAACATACATTTATATAAATGTGTTGAAGTCAAACAGTTCTCGTGCGCTGCTAGATGTTACGAAGTGAAACAAATTCGATATATTTTAGGCTAATAACTTCCATCAGCTTTCCCAATGGATATTGGATATCTAATCGTTTGGTAGTGGTCGTGAATGGGTATTAGAAATTTGATTATGTAGTAACTAATTAATTAAAATTCTCTTTAATGGTGAGAAACGTCAAGAGAGAAGCTCTATGATATTGTCTGTATGTGCGTTGTGAATGTATACAGAATACAATTAGCGAAAAGCTGCTTGTTATATTTGTTTGACGTGTCGGTCCGGACGTCCGGTGAGTTGCGCCCTCGCGCCCTCGCACACCGCGAGGGCCCGCCGCCTCTGCCGGTCCGTGGGGCACTCGCCCCGCGACCCACAGGGGTGTGACACTTGACCTGTGACGTCATCGAAATGCTCTCTAATGATAATTGATATTGAATACTGATAATATTGTTACTTGTAAATGCAAAGATTTAACCGAGGTTACACCGGTAACAAAAAAATTGTAATCAGCTCTAACTGTCAATAAAGGCTGTTACAGATAGATAGATATATATACAGATTATTTACAATAATTTTGGCCAGGTGGAGTGACGATTTGCGCAAGATGGCTGTCAGGAGCTGGATGCGAGAAGCCTAAAATCGATCTAAGTGGCGTGCAGTGGGAGAGGCCTATGTCCATCAGTGAACTGCGATAGGCTGATGATGATACAATAAGTAGCGTTTTATAGACAATAAAATTTGTTATCAATTCAATCAAATGTATTGTCATATCTTCATCGTCATCAATATATTCCTGCCATTTTCCCAACTTTAATTTGGGTTCTGCTCTTTATGTGTAAGACTGTAGAGGATTTTAGTTGGATTCTTTCAAGGCTGGCCACCTGCCCTTAGGAACTTTCGGGAATAATTGTTGTCAAATGTGAGAAATGACAAAAGTAAATGGGGGTAAGGAACAGATAGAATGCGGGACATAGAGTGAAAGAGACGGCAACGCGGACGGGACAACGCGTCTAAAACTGCAGTACCTCTAAAAGGCCGTGCTCGTGTTTCCGTAAATCCCCACTTTGATTAGAGACGCCACTTAGATATGGATATCAACTTTCATTCTTAAATAATATTTTTAATAAACATCTTAATTAGCGAACTGACATCTGCTCCAACTATCTTTTAAGATTTCATTTTAATGAAAAGCAAATTATGCGCACGGTTTAAAACAGCACTTCTAACTTTTTAAACTACTTTTATAATCACTATATTGTGTTAAAACACAACATTTTAGTAACACACAATATTCGCGTCGATATCGCGAAACACGACAGTTAGGGCAAACAATATTATCGGTGGCGCTGGCGGCCATGAACTTGCCGATTCGATAAACCGAACACTGGTTATGTTAAACGCTCAAACTCCACTCGTCATAATAATAAAATAGTTTGGATTTGGAAATCATATCGTTTACGTTACGTGTTTTTGTTGCTAAGAAAATTCCCATGTACAGGTTGATCCACCATCGCATCGCATCGTATCGCAAGACGCTAGCAAAAGTGTCTCTTGCTTGCTGGGTCCTTCCCTGATACTCCTGCGACTGATCTTAACTAACAGCCATTATCACCTGATTAGTTTCAGTTAGCATTACACCAGGACGGCCGTAATAAATTTATTTGTTTATCACTCCCCGTACTTTTTAGATTTTATTATTCATTTAACTAGCAAAAACGTTTGCGGTATTTCGAATTAATAAAACCCTTAACATTCCTTAATCGGGCAGAAGTCTACCGGTCATCTGACTGCCTCGGTGGTTGTTGTGCTGAGGTCTCGGGCCCAATTCTCGGGTCAGACCAAATGTTTGTGTGACCTGCAAATGTTCGGAGTTTGGGTGTTTTTATGTATACTATGTATGTATTTGCAAAAAAATAAGTATTTAAGTATTATATCTGTCAATCTAGCTTTAATCGTATAAGCTCTGCTTTGTTTGAAACTAGATGGTGTTGTGTGTCAGATAAAAATATATAAAAATAAAGTTCCAACCTTTTATTGTAGACATATCAAAGAAATGACCAAACGCTTAAACTGCTGGGTTTTCGATTCAAGGCACCAAGGTCTGGTATGAATGGTCTGCGTCTATTTTTTAAATATTTCTGTAAGAATTAAGAATTTAACTGGCCTGTTGGTCTAGTGGTTGGAGATGTTGGCTGCCAAGCCGAAGGTCGTGGGTTGGATTCTGGATCAGGATAAATAATTGTGTTATGAGTACGATTAGTTGTTCTGTGTCTGGGTGTAATTTATCTACACGATGTTTGTATTTAGCAATATAAAAGTAGGTTTATCAGCAGTTTGGTTATAGTTATATCTGCCTAGTTTCAGTCAGACGGCCGTCTGTGAGAAGAGTAAAGCCTAAACACTTAGCAAGTGACTCAATATACAAGAGGTAAACGGACGGCAAGACGATGATCACATTTATACATTGAGATGGTGTGTCTGTTATGCCCGTGCTAAGTGTATGTGTTTGCATAGTTTATTGTGACATACATTAGCACATTATGTACACATTAGCTTTGTTGTCCGTGATATTTCGATACATGCCCATAGAACACCGTTTAAACTAATTATACTTACTTTAAGAACCTCCTGTACATAAGAATACTAAAAACTATCAGCCCACAAAATTCGTAGTGTATAAATTAGCATTAGAAATATATTGTTATGAAAAACATGGACAATGTCTGCCGGCGGCGAGCGCGCGCGAGTGGCTCCTCGCTGATTTATCGGCCCGCTCTTGAACAGTCAGTGAGCACACGCTTTTTATTAGCCATATTCTATGTTACGTTACGCTGGCTGAGTACCGTCCTGCCTCAGAACAGGCTGGCGGACGACCAGAAAAGTTTAAGATAAATTATTATAATAGAAATGGTATAAGTAAAGAGACATACTGGTATTTTCTGCATCCTCAACGTCATAATATGTGTTGAACGTCAAACTGATGCCTTTAAAAATCAGTATGTACGAGTATCAGAACATTATTTCAAGTCTGCTAACCGTTAGTATTTTGATTAATTAAAAAATATAATTGTGTGCACAGGGTTTGTGTTCTGTCCCCCTCCCTAAGTTGTAAGTATTTGGCACGTTTGTGTTGTCACGTTTCCCAAATTAAACTTTCCTTAAAACATACCACTAAACTTGGTCTTGTAATAATCTTTTTAACAAAGACAATCATACTACGATACATCTTTATATAGTGGAGCAGTTTACTCAAGGTATCTTTAGATGGGTTCATCCCGGGGCTCATCCAAATACTAAATGAAAGCTTTTACAGCAACAAGCCAATCAATTCAACGACTGCTGTGATGAGACTAGCCAGTTGACATCCTTACAAAGTTGATGAACTCTATGAGGATGCGACGCGACCTGTCAATTTATGTTATCTTTATCAAACGATAGAAAGTTGATCCAACATAAAGTTCACTTTCTTAACCTTAAAAAAACCCATGCATATTTATTTGTTAAAATATGGACTCATAAAATTTTCCGTTACACTGGAGTTTGAAACGGATTTAGCGAGATACACTATTTGTTCGAGCACATCAGGGGTCTCCCGAGCTTCACAAACTCTAGGCTATTCCTTTAGATGTGAGTGAGGCTTTGCGAAACTTTATTGGTAGCGTTGTATAACAGCTGCCTCATCTAGGGTATAAATAATAAAATTAGATAACAAACCTGCTGTTGTCAAACTGATTTTGAAGTGAAAACTTTTATTTGTTACTAGTTTTTGCGCACGGCTCCGCTTTAGGTGTAAAACTCAAACAAATTCACTTTCATTTTTATAATATAAAATAAAGTATGTAGTGTTTAAAATATAAAGTATGAATATTTAGATATAAACTATAATAATAATAATAATTAAGAAAAGAATAATAATAATAATTTATTTCAGAATTTCTTTTCCATATTTTGTTAGTAAAAATATGCTTATAGTATGTTATGTTAGTATAAGTTATATTTATTATAATAGAAACAAAAGCAATTCACATTACGACATGTAGCCGCATCCATCGGCGCATCATCGGCGTCTATACTTGTCTTCTTCGTCTAAGTAAACGTATAAAATCTAAATTTAAATAGGCCTGAAACAGTTTGAGTACTTACTAGTGTTTTTCTGATAAAACGTAGGTAGGCAATGTTTAATTAAATGCACATGAAGGGAAATGGGCAGTCGTAGATCAAATTTATGTTGTTCATTAAACGATTACAAAACACAGTCATTATAATAAAGCGAAGATTAAAAGGGAGCGCGGCCACTATCCGTTTATTGACCTCCGAATATGAAGTAGTGCGCTATGGGGCCACAGCGGCCACGGCCGGGGCTCGCCGCGCCGGGGATGGTTTTACGCGCCCCATTTGTTACGAGTTACGAGACAGCGCCACACGTGAGCCGCGCCCTTCACTCGATCACTAATAATACTAATAAACTGGACTTAGCACGTTGCACATCCGACCTGGCACGATCGCGTGCTGCAATTAATAACTCGGCCCGAAGCAACGCGCCTCGGGAATATCCATATGTACCTACATGCTATGTGAACGTCGGTCATCCATGTCAGACGAAAGAGTTATACTAATCACTAACATAATCTACGAACTCTTAAGCCGGCCACACACGCTACAGTTTACCGGAGAGGTGTACCCGTGTAGATGTGCTGCTCAGGTAAATCGGAGCATAATTGGCAACGGCCTATTCAGTTTTTTTAATCTGTACAGGCGACAGGAACAAATTAAAAAATCTATATTTTTGATTGACATCGTACGGTACACCTAAAGATAAACCGGATTGTCCCACACACATTACGATATACGGTCTGTCTTCACAGCCAAACTTGCACAGGTAGAGCTCTCCGGTAAATCGTGGCTGTGACATACGAGTAGACATGTGACTGAATGTGTTTTTGTAGCTATAATCTCAATCGCTATAAAGGTTGAGAATAATTTTACGGCACAGATAATAATTCAGAAGCATTAAAGACATAAGCCCAAGTGCTGAGACCGTGCATAGATAAAGAATTACTAGTCAGTTTTGTCTTCACTTATTCGTAACATTTATAATGCTTTTACACAACACAAATCTAAAACTTCAGTCAATATTATTTTTAACTTAAAAGATCAAAAACCCTTTTAAGTTTGAATTCATTTTTTTATAATTATTTGAAAATGTCATAGACTCTTAAGTCTTAGATCAACACACACAATAGCAACAATCTGTTTTCCAATATTTGAGTACAACCAATTTCATAAAAAAATAAAAAAGATCAACTGGTTGGTAATAAGTATTCAGTGAGAACCTTTCCCTTTTTGAAGTATATTGAGAAGTATAAAAATCGTGTATTAAAGAGCCTGCTATTTTAATGGTGTTTCAACATGTAGCGTGTGGTGCGGTGACGTTCCACAGGTCGCGAGCCCCAGCTACAGGTGGAGGGTGGGTGCCACCCCTGCTGTCGGCCCGCGGCGCAGGGTGTGAGCCCCGAGGTGGAACTCTTCCGTCACTATGACACAATGGCACAATTTGAGATAGTAGCGAGAAACCCCTGCGGCCACCACTAATGATGTCACCGTGCACCAAACATGTCAAGTGACCTGTCACGTATCGCATAACAAACAATGCCATTAATACAGTACTCGCACTTTGAAAGCTGACATTTTTAAGGTTTATGCTTGTGAAATCTATTGGAGATAGTGATGGATATTGACATTATTATAAAAGTTGTAGTGATACCAGTCATTACGTATTTTTCATGTTTCCAGGATGTTATTTTTATCGACAGATCACAAAAAATATACCACCAAAACCACCCCCAGTTCTCCATTTAAACAATTTAAAAATAAGTTATTACTATTCAGAACGATTATATATTATATGTATGTATTAACTTGCTCGTATTGCCCCAATATCATCTGGGCTAGTAGGTAGAGACTGATGCGAAATAGAACGCTATCTCCAGGATCCTTTTTAAAGATCTTCTACGTTTATCAGGCCTTACATACACGGTCGTTGGTTATAGGTGCTTCTAACGAGGTCTTGTGCAAAAGCGAAAAAATAATAAAATTTACATCACCAGCCTCGCCAGGCCTCGCTCAAGAAGTGCCAACTATCCCTGTTTTGGACAGTCCAAAATTTTATCAGGATTTTATTTCTTTTTTAGTTCTAACAACCACCTAACCGAATCTAATAAAGTTTTTTAAGTGGTCATTAGAACTAAGGGACAGGGTTCAAATAGACATAAAAAAATCCAAAAAACAAAATGAAATTAAATATTTTTTTTTCCAATATTCCATAAATTGTGTGAGCAAGTCGTGTTGAAATTCAATATTGTGATGGATGGAAAAAATACAATTCGCCATGTTAAGGATTCCTCGGTGTATACCTATATGAGCATCACGTACAAGCCATTACAACTACGTCATAAAAATGCGACATAATTACAAATATCAAAATACTCGTAGTTGAAAAACAATCTTTTAATTAAAATAAACAGCGGTTAGTAACGGCGATAAATATTAGATACAAATCATAATATAAACATTTATATTCAAACTGTTCAATCTTTAATGAGTGTTTGTAGGCATGAAGAAAGTAACGGTGGCACCGAATTAAATATTCTTATGTGTGTAGTATGTAAATAGTGGAACGGAGATGTTCATCAAATATATTAAATATCTTAACTTCACTAATTGATTATTAGATGCGGTCGCAGTTCCAACTGTGGCCTCTCGGTTAGTAGCCACTCACTTAACTTGTTCTCTATTGCATCGTTATAGTATAGTAGTACAACATTTACTGATAGAGGAAGAAAAGGTAAACAATCCATGTATCGTCCTCAATCTACTGACCTCACCGACTTCACACGTGTGTATTATAATGTTCCACACATTTATTGGCGGCACTAATAAAACAAGATATACAACAAGCAATTTAAACAAAGTGGAGAGTGAACATACTTTACGTATTTAGACGACCGGATGGCGTAGTGGTTTGTGGAACGGACTGCTATTCCAAAGATCGCGGGTTCGATTCCCGCTCAAGTCAAACATTTGTGTGCATGAACATTTGATGTTTGATTTGGTCTGGGTGTTTCTATGTATAATATGTATGTATTTACAAAAAAAAAGTATATATGTATTTATATCAGTTGTCTAGTACCCATAGTACAAGCTCTGCTTAGTTTGGGACTAGATGGCGTTGTGTGTATGTGGTACAATATATTATTATTATTTATAAACCTTTTAGTGTTCACGTGTCTTCAAATATTTATGCACTTGTTGGTATTTATTGTATTTCGCACTGTTCAGTGTACGGCGACGTAAAGTGGAGCCCACTGAGCACTCGAGTGATCCGTATCGTTCACTTCGCAAGTGGTCACCTCACTCATGGACTCTTTATAAATGAAAAACTATACCGCATTGCTCTAAAACGTGGATGGTTCATACAAAAGAGCATTTATTGTTCTCGTTCTCCTTAGATCCTCTCCCCCTCCTTTCCCCCGGAAAGGTCTCAATTTAGATAAGGTTATGACCATAAATCATCAATATGACAGGTTTATTATTAGCGTTAGATGTGGCACCGCGAAAAGGTGTTTAATTCCAAAAAAGTTGTCCGAGGACTGACTCTTCCAGAACCCCACTTCACCTGACTACGTGGATTGGAGAACCTTATAAGACAACAGACAGACCCATATTAGACTTGACTTGGCTTACTATAGCCTGAGTGTTGATTGTATGTTGTAAAGCGATTTAAAGCAGAGTAGGATCAGTTCTACCGTACCTACAGGTGGCAGCGGTTCGAAAACACTCTTCAAACATTTTTGTGTTAATGTTGGTCAGCTGGTTTAGGTTTCAGGTACAAAGCGCTTCTAATACGACGAGCCTGTTGGTCGAGTGGTTAGTGTCCCTGACTGCTAAGCCGGAGTTCGTGGGTTCGATTCCCACCCAAGACAAATATTGTGTGATGAGCATGATCATAATATGATTACATCCAGACACAGAACATATTATGTTCTGTGTCTGGGTGTAATTTATCAATAATATGTATGTATTTAAAAATATATAAGTATGTTTATCAGCAGTCTGGTCACCATAGCACAGGCTCTGCCTAGTTTGGTATCAGACGGCCGTGTGTGAAATGTGTGAGGTATATTATATTATTTTTATATTATATTAATACAGCTGCTATTGGGCTGTATTACTGCTATTCAACTACAAGGCAACCTAATACACAGTGCCGTCTTATTGTTGAGTACGGCACAATTAAACTCAGTGCTTGTTAATGTTTCGTGTAATTGTGTACCGGACCAGTTAACAGTTTCATTAGCACCACATAAACAAACTATTAAAGCTTAACCGCTGGTTGGCGCCGCCTCGAAAACTAGGGAATTATTGTTTTTATACCAAGATAAAATAAACTAATGAATTATATAAGCTTATCTTAGAGACTTATGATTGAATGTATGTGATCTATTTTTAATTTGGCGAGCATAATACTAAATCTAACTCAGCGCATTGACTGCCTCGGTGGTGCTGTGTTGAGGTCTCGGGTTCGATTCCCGGGTCGGACCAAATGTTTGTATGATAGACAAATATTTGTTACGGAATTTGGGTGTTTTCTATGTATCATATGTACGTATTTACAAAAAAAGTACATAAGTATTCTATCAGTCAATCTAGCTTTCATAATAAGAACACTGCTAGTTTGAAAGTTAGTAGTAGTTTGCTAGTTTGTCCGTGTAGGGACGGATTAGGAATACGGAATGTCACCACCCCAATTCATCCCGTGGGTGTCGTAAGAGCCGACTAAGGGCGCAAAACAACGCAGGACACCAGCACTGCAAAAAGAAGGAAAACTTGACACAAACCTTATACCAACCCGTCTGGCCAGCGTGGTATAGTAGGCCAAAACCTTCTTTCTAAGGAGAGGCCTATGTCCAGCAGTGGACTATTAAAGGCTGTTGATGTGATGTGATGTGATGAGTTTGAAACTAGATGGCGTTGTGTGTCAAATGTCCGAAATGCTTAAATATTTTTATGAGACACTGTTGCAACGTGCAGAGTACTACACTACAACTACACATACTCCTGTGTAGTTGTAGTGTAGCATATCGGACCTAAGTCAAAGTTATTTGTTCCTTACCACCACTATACCACGGCTTCACAGAAAACCTGATCCTAGGGGGGACGTAAAGGGCAACAACCCACTTGAGACTCTTGAGTTACAGACGTCCATGGATGGCGGTAGTCACTTACCATCAGAGGGCTGAGTGTAACTTTATTTAACATCGACTTGCTCTCGACGGCGAGCGCGTTTAGCGTTGCGATTGGTGGAGATTTCAGTGCGGACCAATCGCAGCGCCGAACGCAGTCACCGTCACGATCGAGTAGTAGTGAAATAAACTCGCACTTGGCTCTCAGGTGACACGTCTGCTCGTTTGCCTCCGAATACCATAAAAAATTACCATCGGTTTAATGTTGCTCTACAAAAGTTATAATATTTATTTTATCAGTCACTAGTGTAATTATTCAAATTTGCTAGATATCGTTGGCGAGATACTCGGAACTCGAGAGATTATCGCGTTTAAAATAACCGTAAACAAAAATTACAGATTAGAGACTTATAAACTAAATTAACAATAAGGTATTGTAACATTAAGTGAGATCTGTGAGTTGGATTAAGGCTGTCAAGCAATAAAATGTAATTATTCGTGCCTCCACCTCCACTTCCGTTCAATAAACAGAGAGTCTAAAATGTATGTATAAGTAATTCTGATTGAAAATCCAACGTCAAACTAAGAATATAAAATAGAATAAGATCATTATCGGCATAAAAAGTGTCCCTATGATAACATTGACAACCATCAAAAGAAACAAGAAAGCAACGTTTTAAATAAATATAGAAATCGTTAGTTTAGAAACAAAAAGCTATCGCGATTCAGACTATGGGTACTATGCCATCTGTCGAATCTTATAGTAAACATCTGCCGAAGAAGACAACTGATGAATCAAAACAATTTAGGTTGTAGTTGTTGGTATGTATTGTTACTTCCTCTTGCAAGAGCCTGCTACATTGTCAACTTTAAAACTTTACCACTGAAGTCGAGGATAATTTTCACAGCGAACGATTAAAATCAGATCAGCTACTCTTTACTGCAGAGACTGGTACAGATCTTCTGTTTAAAACTAAAACTTTATAATTTTATTTAACCAAACCAGATTGCTCATGGATTCTATAAATAAAACGAAGGTACACATCTAATTAACTAATAACGAACCAAATTCTTACATAAATTATCCTAAGACATATTTAGTAAAAAAAATTAGCTATTAACCTTACTTACACATAACAAAATCGCCGAAGAGAGTAACGTAAAAAAATAAATGATTGAAACTCATTAAAATTACTATACCGATGTGTTGCAAAAGAAATCGTAGTGGACTCTCCTCACTCATTATATATGTACATAATATTTAAGCAGGTATATGATTATAATTTGGTTCGAGTTCTTATACCTATTATATAAGACGCTTAACGTCCGAGATGTTTTAATGACCTCGACGAGTTAATAAGTAGAAAAAATGTGGACTAAACGGAAGCGAGGCCGCTGG